ATTACAGCTCTGAGATACTTATATTATATTTCCCTTGTTCGATCTCGTTTAGAATAATGCTCTGATCACCGTAATGATGTGGTTAATCCATCTAAGCAGATCGAAATTACTGAACCCCAATTTAAGTGCCTTTTAAGTGCTGTTTAAGTGCCTTCCGTATGGGTTGTCGAATGATTTTCGATGATCATAGTTATAGCTACTCCAGGCTCAAATTTAATCTTTATCCTCTTCAAACAGGCCATACTTCACTTGATCTTTTATTTGCGTATAAAGCCATAAATGGGTCCACCTCTTGCCCCATATTACTACACCGTCTTTACTTTATATCATCGCAAACATCCATTAGACGCCGTACTATTTTAAAACAAAAGAATCATATTGCATTATACGACGACGATAACAATTCAAATACGACTTTTGGGAATTTTAACACCTACTGCAAATAGTTGGGTTTCCTCGTCGAGTGTATCGTTTTCTCGATGTTATGTTAATCCATAACTTTTAAACTTTTGTTTGTTCTGCGAAAGGATTCTCCCCCGTAAATTAATAAATATCAAATATATCAATTTGTTCAGATGAACAAATGTAATAAAAACCACGTAACCACTTGATAAATGCGGTATAGTTTCTTTTAGAAGACGATACAGACTACAGTAAATTCTCTCTAATTGTTTCTCAGCATGTAAACAAAAACAATTTCAGAAGAGAAGATATGATTATTCGAGTCCCACGGCTCGTTTCTATAGTCGCCGATTAACAACTATAAACACAAATCGCGAGGCTCGAATAATCGAATCTCCTCTTCCCAAATTGTTCATTTCTGTTTACAAGCCCAGAGTCAGTTGGGGAGAATTTACTGTAGTTAGTTTTAGTGCTCGGCAATTCTAGTCGTTAACGAGCAAGCAGGGCACGTAATCCGAGATCGGTGCTTTCTATATATGTAGCTCTCGCGTTTCAAGATCCGAGCCTAACCGAGAGAAGCTGGACAACGTTAAAAATAATCCCGGCCGCTCAATGCGCCATTATCCCGATTTCGCGTCCCCCGTTCTCGTGTTTCCCGCTTGTTTAAGGAGAAAGGATTCGGTCCGTCGAGGACGAGCGAAAATAAAGGGACAAGGCGGCGACTATCGATTTCTTCGCGATGGAGCCTCGAATTTCACAAAAAAAGTCCCCGCCGATTCTGGTAACGAAGAGGGGAAGGGCAACAAATAAGCCATTTTCGTAAGCCAATTTCTTTTATTCCGCCGCGTCCTTCGCCCTTTCATATATTTTCTTTCCACCCGTGGGCCTGGTAGAGCATGCAAGTGCCACTTTAACGATGAAAAATACAGAATTGAAGAGTTCGCGGCCTTGTTCGAGCAACTTCTAAGACTCCGCCGCGACCCCTATGCCTTTAAAGCTATTTCCAATAGGACGCGGACCATTCCTGCGCGATTCTAGAACGCAAAACCAGTAGGTCGATCGCTCGAATCAATCGTCCGCAGTGGCAAACAAATTCGACCCTTCTCGCGGACTATTTTTAATGAACCGGCAGATATTCGAGCCCCTTCGCCCCGTAAAACTGCGTTTAACTCGCAAGATTTCTCATCAATCGTTGCTTCTCGTTCCACTAAATAAAATACAACGACGCCGATCGAATTCTTATGATCGACGGTCCGGCAAATAACGCGTTGTCTGCGCAAACATTCGACTGGCGTTGACGCTCTGATGAGCAGGTAGCGGTGTACAGGTTTCAGCAAATCTTCTGCTCGAGCCTTTAAGTATTCGATCATACAGGGTGGTCAGTAGTTGACGGTAAATACATATAACCGGGAGAGAATAGATTCCACGTTTCCAGAAATAAATGGAGGAAAAGAATAATATTCTTTTATTTAACCTTTTAGGCACGACGCGCTACTATAGTAGCCTTCGCGGATGTCATCTCTCTGAACGACGCACCACTACAGTGGCTTTTGCGGATATCATTTCTCTGAACGACGCATCACTATAGTGGCTTACTCTAGTAGCTCACTCGGTCATCGTTTGAATCAAATAATCGTCTTCATATGCATTGTTTCACACTTCTTTTGTCTTCACATCGATTTACGATACACAGACTTATCTTAACAATATAACTGTTAACAATATAACTGTATCTTAACAATATACAGACAGAATATGCAGACGCTCTGTACAGTACATAACAGACTCTGCCATCCAGAGAAATAGCCTCGTGCAGAATTCAGCCGTACCTAAAAGGTTAAGGCTTCGTTCTCGAGAAAAATGAGTTAAAAAGTTCGCCGGGTTTGCATGCGTTATACAGGGTATCCCAGAAATGTCTCGCACTCCGGAAATGGGGGGTTCCTAAGGTCATTTCAAGTAACTTTTTCCTTAGCGAAAATGCAATTCGCGACTTTGTTTACGAGTTATTAGCGAAAAACAGTGACCAATGAGAGGCGAGATAAGCTAGCGCGAGACGGCCGAGCCAATCAGCGGAACTGGGTGGAACCCTGTATACAGGGTGTCCCAAAAATGCCTCGCAATCCGAAAGTGGCGGGTTCCTCGGGTCATTCGAAGCAACTTTTTCCTTTACAAAAATTTTCTCCGAGGCACTGCTAACGAGTTATTAACAAAAAATAGTGACCAATGAGAGCGAGATCAGCTGCCGCGAGGTGGCCGAGCCAACGGCGCCATCGGTCGAGCGGTCGAATTCCAGCTCGGCTGGCACGAGGCGACCGAACCAATGAGCGGAACTGGGCTTCGCGCGCTGGTTGGTTGGGCCGCCTCGCGTCAGCCGTACTCGATTTTTATTGGTCACTGTTTTTCGTTAATAACTCCTTAACGGTACCTCGGAGAAAATTTTTGTAAAGGAAGAAGTTGCTTCAAATGATCTGAGGAACCCACCATTTCCGGAACACTCTATATGTACGTAGCATGTCGAGAAGTAAAATTGGTACGTCATGGTCAGACGCGACAGTTGATTTCTATTCAACAATATTTTTTCCAGAATCGAAACCTCAAAGGTAACGATTTTATTACTATTATTTAATGTAGAATCATTCCCCTTGCGGTTTGTACCACCCTATGTATTTAAAGTACGTGATTAAATTCGGTGCTCCGTCGCTTACGTGCAACGTCGCGAAGTGGGCGACGGCCTTTAAACTTCTCTCGAACGAGAAGCAAAGCAAATCAGCTAGATGGAAGCATCGAATGACGATGATGATGATGACTCCTCCACTCGGTTTTTTCTCGTACTTCCTTCTCCGGAATTAATTTAGCCGCGTTACTTTCATCTAATTAAAGACACGTTTCCTATGGATCTTGTTCGCCGTTCATCGTTCACCCTTTCCTTCGTGTTGCGAAGCACACGCAAACCCGATGATCCGGCTAATAATCGACCATTATATTAATAACAATCGTCCGCTGGGGCGATACGATATGCTCTACTCCGTCTCACGCTTCCTCTCTTTCCGTCTGTCGGGAAACTTTGAAAAGCTTGGGCGCGTGTTTACGTGATTTTCATTGGCAAGGGAAAAAAAACTTGTGAACGACGAGACACACGCGACAATGGTTCTCGAATCGACGATATCGGCGAGAGGAGAAAAAGTTCGAGCGACGCAGAGGTGCGCGTTCACGAGCGAACACATTTTCCCCGAATCGGAAACGAATGTATCAGGTCTAGTAATAATTAATGTCGTTTTTTCCAATACGATTTTAGAACTAATTTATTTAAACGAAACAAAACAATTTAATCATCGATATAGTCGCCGTTGTTTTCAACTACTTGTGCCCAACGCTCAGGTAGCATCTTAATCCCTCTATTGTAAAATTCTTGTGATTTCGATTGAAAAAATTCGGTCGAGGCGTTTTCGAGGCACTCTTCGTTATTGAGATGTTTTCCAAAAAGAAAATTTTGCAAGGAACGAAACAAATGATAATTGGATGGGGTTAATATCTCGAGAATATTCAGGTTGTGGGAGAACTTCTCATTCCAACTGGCGTAGTTTTTCCGCCGTGATTCTTGCAGTTTGCGGTGGTGCGTTATCGTGATGAAGAATTTACGCCCTTCCGATTAATCAGCGCGGGTTCTTTTTCCCTCAAAGCTCGGTCTAACCTTTCCAATTGTGCACTATACGCTTCACTTGTAATGGTTTGGTTGGTTGGCACACAAGAGTTCATAATGAAGAATTCCTTTAAAATTCCACCAAACATTTGCTTTTCTTCCCAGCTAGAAAGCATGCAATGCCGAATATGCTCTTCATCTTCCATCCTTTAACCCTAGTTTCGCAAAGTAAAACAGTTCGAACACAAACTTTTTGCCGCAAAGCTTGTTAATTACGCTTCACACTTTTCGTATGTGTCACGCGTTTGTAGGTTACGTTGATGAAGTTAGCGGCAAGCAGGATTCTAAACAAACACCAAGAAACGACACTAATTGAGCCGTTTATTTTGAAAGTGGCATAAGTCACTTTGTTTTTAAGTCGATACATTTAAGGGTTTGCGTTTTAACACGTTTAAAAATATGGATGCTAACTTTCGAGAAGATTTACTTGTATTTGTTATCTCAGGATACTGATATTTTTCTCAGTATAAATAATTTCGTATAAACATTCAAAAATCACCACTTTTCATTACGGTAAAGTGACTCTCTTATGCCACTTTCAAAATGAACGGCTCAATTATTACTAGACCTAATATTTCGCGTTTAGATCGCCGATCTATTTTTCCGACAACCGTCTCGCTCCCATAAACGTGTTATGTCGCGACACCGATACTGTTTGTACAAGGTCACAGACGAAATATCTCGCGACGTAATGCCGTCCGTGCGATGCCGCGAACGTGTTATCACGCGACGCAATACCGTTCCTGCGGCACCATAGACGAGTAAACACGCTTCGACTCTCGAGCCAAAACAGAAGCGCGTGTTTCCTGGTCTCTGCGACACCGTGCGAACGATATTACGTCACGGGATAACACGTTCACGGCATCGCATAGGTGGCACTACGTCGCGAGATATTTCGTCTATTTCGCACGGTGTCGCAGACGAGTAAACACGCGCTTCTGTTTTTGCTCTCGAATTGAAACGTATTTGCTCGCCTATGGCTCCGCAGGAACGGTATTACGTCACGGGATAACACCTCCGCGGCATCGCACAGACGGCACTACATCGCGAGATATTTCGTCTATTTCGCACGGTTTCGCAGACGACTAAACACGCGCTTCTGTTTTTGCTCTCGAATTGAAACGTGTTTGCTCGTCTATGGCTCCGCAGGAACGGTATTACGTCACGGGATAACACGTTCACGGCATCGCACAGGCGGTATTACGATGTCGCGAGATATTTCGTCTGTGATCTTACACGTACGGTATCGGCGTCGCGACAAAACACGTCTGCGAGAGCGAAGTGGTCACGTGCACGTTCGCGTCGCCCTTCGTAGGTATTCAGTTCGAGCGGACCGACACTGAATTACGGAGATTGTGCGCGACGTTCAACGAGTTCGAAAAGTGTACCCGTAAGGTGACATTTGCTGTCCATTTCCAAGCGAACCGTACGCGCGCGGAGATCAATACGAAACGAGCAACTAGTTAAATTGGCTCGGCGAAAATGTAAGTAAGTTTCGATGTTTAATCATTTAACGTTCGATCCTTAGTTTCAACCCAGTTTTAACGACCGGCGGAAATCGTGAAATCTACTTAAGCTTTTAAACGCTTCATTTGGAAACGTTTCGATTCGACACACTTGTCGAGATCGCGTTTCTTTAGAAAGCACCGGCTCCGATTATCCGGCGTACACAGGGCCGATGGAACGTTACCGCGCTGGGTCAGATCAGACCCAGGCTATTCGAAGGTGAACGTTCGCGAACGAAGAAGAATAACTCTTCTATGCGGCATCGGATCAATTAGCGAGGCCGACTTTCCAATATCCTCAATTTGATTCCTATTCATCAAAGGGTCCATTGTCGGAGACAATGATGATCGACGGCATCGACTCAGCGGTAGTTTTCGTAACTCGGTTACCGTACCCATCCGGGGCTGCGTGTTCGGAACGCGTCGGGTCGGTTCGTTTGGCGTCGGGTCGTGTCGGGTCGCGTCGGGTCGGGTTAGGTCGGCAACGTCATCGATACAAAGACGTGCTTCCTCGACGACGCTACGTATGTATTCCGAGTGTTTTTAAAAAGAGTGCGTTGTTCGTTCGAGACCCGGCAGAATGCGTGGAACAACATACGAATACAGTACAAACTACGGTAGATGCTCGACGCACACGCATGCTCGATACCGTTCTCAACACTTTCACGGCTGTCGTATACGTGTGATGTTGACTGTCAGTGATCTTCGGCTACCACGATTCGTAATAATAACGTTATTATTTGTTTGTTCGTGGTACAGAGATCGCTAGTGGCAATTATATATTATTTCTTGGTCGAAAAGAATCATTCGACCAAGTTGAATCGCGTTCTACAGTGAATTACCGGAAAGCGTAGTGAAAGTGTTGTATTTTCCCCATTCAAAACCAGTTCTCGAACCGTGAGGGAATAATCCCAGCGCCTGCTAGATTGCAACATTCGTACAGCGATGCAAACGCGCCGTGTTCCACGCATAAATTCATTTACGAACGTGCAGGGAATAGCTACGATAAATTCTCTCTAATTGCCCGTCAGCTTGGAAACAAAAATAGACAATTTGGGAACGGGAGGTACGATTAATCGAGCCTCGCGGCTTGTTGTTTTTTCACTCGTTGACAAGCGGTAACTACAAAAACAAGCCGCGAGACTCGAACAACGGTATCTGCTCTCCTCGAATTGTCCAATTTTGTGCGCAAGTTGAGGGCCAATTGGGGAGAATTTACTTGTGCATAATATCAAACAGCTGTCGTACAAATGAACAAAACATTCCTCGTCACACGTTTGGGAGTAAATGACTATTTTTCGAAAAAAGACTAGAATCTCGCACAGATCGATTCATTCTTTTCTTTTTCGAAAAATGAGATGACAGAGAGAGAGAGAGAGAGAGAGAGAGAGAGAGAGAGAGAGAGAGAGATCATGGAAGGGAAACCAATCGAATCTTGCTAATTTGTTGTTCGGGGCGCTTTGTACACGAGCGACCCGCTCCGTGGCTCGGCTTCGCATTACCAACGACCAATGACTTCGTTTACCGATGACCTTGACCATGCCACGACAGGAACCGCTTCGGCATTTCGCGAGACAGACTGGTCGCGATCGATAGAACATTTCTCGAACTTGTCTTTCCTGGCTTTGTGGATCATTGAACCGAAACCTTCGAACATCTGCCGCAGAGCTTGCATATCGCTGGAAGCGCAAAAAGTAGGACCAAAGACCCTTCGAACTTGATCGATCGGCCAGCATCGTGATTTGTACGAATCTTTCGAATCGCGTACACAAAGACACGATGCCTCGAGACCAAGATAAGATCACTTTTCTAAGAACACGTGTCTGGGCGTATGCGATCTTGGAGGGGTGTCCCATCGTGCGTGCAACGTGCAACGTGGACGCGACACGTCGTGTACTCTAGTCACGATTGCACCGGCGACGGAACCTGCGGTAAAGCCTGCGGCAACCGACATTCGTCGTCCGCTCGGTTAATTAGGCGAGATCTGTCGTGGAATCGATGGGAATCGAACAGGGCTCGTTCAGCAATCTAAAAGCGTCCGACGCGACGCGTCATCGGCACGGAGATATAGCTCGGTTCCAAGCTTAACTCGACTCGCGGCACGCCGCCGATCGATGCTGCTACTTCTTCACGGCTTATCCGTTCTCGCTTCTCTCGGGGAATCCGATGCAACATTTATATTCGATTAAGAAGCAAATGAGAAACGGATAGGTGTCGGAATAGAGAGAGGTTGCGGCGTCGACGTTCCCGTTGCAGTCGTCGTTGCAGTTGCAGTTGCAGTTGCCGTTGACCGTGGTGGTTGGTTTCGAGTACGCTTCAACGTTGCCGCGATCCAATCGGAAACGGGAAATGAGAAACAGGAAACGAGATAATCGCTCCCAGTTCCTCTTCCAGTTACTGGCGTGAACGTTGCGGCTAGGCTAGCGTAAACGGTGCTCGAACGCGGACACCGCGTATCCTCCGAAAAAAGGCGGAGCTGTCAAATTAGCAAGTTCTCGAGACGAGAGAGAGAAAAAGAGAGAAAGAGCGAGAGAGAGAGAGAGAGAGAGAGAGAGAAACGAAAGGAACGGCAGAGCGAAAGGCGAATCGGAATCTTGCAGGGTCGTACTCACCACGAAGGCAGAGGAACAATCCTCTGTGACTCGTGCCGAATTTCAAACAACGATTACCGCGACAAACGACATTCATGCGACCCAGGTGTTGTCCCTGTGCGTTCACAACACCACCGTGTTCCCAAGACCTCTCTTCCCTTCTCTCCTCCGCGTCGGGCGGGAACACGAGGAGCCGGTGAACCACCGATCGAACGATTCTAATTGAACTTCACCCGAGCGGTAGATCGGAGGAGTATCGAATGGGAGAGTAACGAATGAGCAATCCGAACGGGGTGTGTACCGTGGATAGAGTTTTGCTGTAGAGCGTGCGGCAGAACGAGAGAAATGTGTGCGCCGAGAAAGAGTGCTGCGAGAGAGAACGGCGGAGAGAGGAAAACGGTTGCGTGATTTTCAGTGCAGGCTTGCCGAGAACAAGGAGAGAGAGAGAGAGAGAAAGAGAGAGAGAATGAGGGGCGGGAAACACAGAATGAAGAATAGCGAGAAGCCTGAGATAGACGGATAGATAGATAAGCGGACAGAGAGAGAGAGAGAGAGAAAGAGAGAGAGCGCAGGAGATGGACCAGATAGTGGTCGACCACACGACAGTGTCCCAGCGACAGCGATGCAAACGCGTAGTCGTGGAAAAAGAGTCGGAAAATGAAGAAAGGATTGAGATAAGAGAGGAACGGCAACCGTGTGACAGACAGCGTCGCGACGCACTGCTGCTTCGACGCCGTGAACCCCCACCGTCGCAACCCCGGTAGCTTTCCACCCGTGTACCGGCTCTCTTTCTCTCTCTTTCATCCTCTTCCGCCCTCTCTCGCTCTTTCGCCACCGATCCCCCCACCTAGCCCGCTATGGCACACCTTGCGAATCCTTCCCCAAATCTCGAACGTGTGCGAGTTCCTTTTCCACCCCACCCTCCTCGCCGACCCCGCCGAATCTCCGTCCCCTTTCGCCGCGCGACCCGAAGAAATTTCGCAAATTCCACGACCGAAGAAACCTTTCGCCCCTTATCGTTTATCGATACGCTTATTTTTACGTCGCGTCGTCATCGACGTTCTTGCCAATTAATAAAGCGAAGTGGTTTCGATTTATCTGATACGAAATTGCAAATCGTTTCAATCATCGATCGATCGATTGACTTTTGTTTGTCCGCAGACCAGATACCAGATATCACGACTATTTCAGAATAATCCGTGGTAATTGAAACAGTGACTTGCTGCTGATCGAGCATTCTAATAAAGATCATACGATGTCCGAGTTAATAGAATTTCCGGCGTTTCGCAACGTTGAAACGCGTCGAGGATTTCGCGCGTTGTTGTAACGCTCTGAAATCAACTCCGTGCAACGATCTGAAAAGTAGTCGATCTTTCTCTTAGCCCCAATTAACGATCTTCAGCAAAAAATAATCTCCCCTCGGCCGAGACTTTATCTCCTGTGAAAGCTTGAGCCGTCTAATCGACCGGAACGCTCGTTCCAAGTCGGGCGCGTTCCTTTGAAATTTTAACGGGCAGAAGGGTCTTGTAAAATGTATCTACCGTACGGCACGATGTGGTACGGTACAGTATAGTACGGTACAGTTACGGTACGGTACGGTACGGTACGGTACGATACGGTACAGTCGCTGTACCGGTACTCCGACATCTAACAGCCATCCGTTTCCGATTCGGAAATTTGTTGGCAACCTTTTGGAATAGCACGTGGACAGACTCGTGATAACCGGCGACGGTGAAAAAACAAGCGCTATCGATCATCGGAAAGATTTGATGTTGTACGCCGAGTAACGAGAGAATCATCGGTTTTATCTGTGTGCGGTCGAGTAGGGACGGGATATATCGGCGCGAGGGACGAGTCTCGGGATGCAGAAAAATGCTGCTCCAGTTTTATTCATCGTCGACGAGCCTCTTTCAATTTCCAGCATGCCACGTGTCGTTTACTTTTTCTTTTTTCTTTCTTTTTTTCTTTTTTTTTCTTGCATTCAGAGCTCTAAACGCGGTCCGTGAAATACACAAGCGAAAACGTTTCTTCGGAAAGCACGGAACACCGGGGAAATACGTATCGGTTCGTTTTAGATTTTATAAGAACAGAGGTAGCGTAATGTTTCGCATAAGGCGCGCCTCTCGTTTGACCCAAATACATACACACGTGGATCTCGTGCCGCGTACGATTTCGCCGAAAATCGAAATTACGATGGAGCACGCCACGCGAATCGAGGAGGAGTCGAGGATTCACGAGGACCGGGATACCGAAGATCGTTCGTTTACCTATGTCTTATTATGTTTCGCGTTTCCGACGTGGTCGTACACTAGTTCTATTTACAATACAAGGAAATCTCGCGCTACAGATAACCGATTAGCATGCCGGGAAATACCGGCGAATAGAGATATGACAGAGCGAGTTGATAGCGATTACGATTGGATGTGACGTTCCCCCGACGGAATGTGGGACGTGGATACCGAACCGCGTTCTCCGAACTTCATCGACACGTGACAAAAAGATCTGGAACCACTATCCGGGAACTTTGGTACGAAGTTTAACAACGAGTCCCGTCGCCGAGCGAGCGTGTCTTTGTTCGTCGCCCTCGTCTTCCGAGGTTTCCATTTAGAACTGCGTCAGTTTCTTCGTTATCGGGAATTCTTTTAATAATAAATCGCTTCGACAGCGACGACGCGCGTTGGATTCCATTCCATTCTACCAGCGATCGTCTGAAACGTGTGTGTCACAAGGTGCAGCAACCATGCGTGTGGCTACGAGTCTTTTGGGACTGTTGCTGACGGTGCAGCTTTCGCAACAGGTAAAAGCTCGTCGCAATTTGCTTAGAAATTAGAGATCGCTTCGGCACGCATAGTTTGCTCCAATTCGCAGGTGACGCAGCAGGACCAAAGTAATTACTATGTCGGGGCTGTGGTGGAGTTCGCGCCGTACGTCCAGCACGGGAACAGCACGCTAACTCTGCAGAAGAACGCGGCGACGTACATCGAGTTCATACAGATGGCGAAACAACAGGTGAGAGAAACAACGGCCCTGCGCGGGGAGATGATTTCTTAATCCGCGTTTATATCTGTCGGTCGTGTTTTTCAGGGCGCCGACATCATAGTGTTCCCGGAGGACGGATTAACGTCGTACGAAATGCCGAGAATCGAGATAGCATCCTGGACGACGGCTATACCTTCTCCCGAGAAGCATTATGTCCCGTGCACGCAGAATCGAACCGACGTCAGCCAGGTAAGTCGTTTATTAACTCACCCATAAGCGGCGTGCATTCTAATCGAGACGTTCGTCGATGTTCGCGCAGACATTGAAGGATCTATCGTGCGCGGCGCGGGACAATAGCATTTATCTGGTAATAAACATCGCCGAAAAAGAATCTCTCGCCAATGGGACGGTCTACCACAACACCAACATGGCGTTCGATCGACACGGCAAAATTGTCGCTAGGTGACATTTTTTTTCTCGCTAGTTCTAACCCAGATCTTTTTTACAACTCTTGGCTGAACAGCTACGTTACTGCCGATAGCGTAAGCTATTCGCAGATCGAGCCCGGTTATGGCTAGAAAACACGTGACACTCCGTTAATAGAACTCCGCTCGGTCGTTGCCGATCGGGCTGTGAACAGGTATCGCAAGGTGAATCTCTACGGGGAACCTCAATTCTCGACGGTCGAGCCGCCGGAAATCGTCACCTTTGACACCGATTTCGGCGTCACGTTCGGCACATTCATATGCTTCGACATACTATACGCGATTCCGCCGCTCAATCTGACCAGGTTAAAGGGCGTCACGGACATTGTGTACAGCACCGCGTGGTTCTCCGAGGCACCGTTCCTCACAGGTAATTTCATCGGCTACGTAAACAACACCGACAGCAAAATTCGAGCTCGAATTCTCTTTCAGCCGTTCAAACGCAATTCGGATGGTCCTACAGCGAGAATGTGAATCTGCTGGCGTCTGGGTACCACAATCCGGATGTCGGGAGCGCCGGAAGCGGCATCTATTTGGGTAGATATCTATAAATGCTTTCGTTCCTTGATATAATCGAGCACCGCATATGATACATTTCAGTTTCGGCTGGCTAGATAGTATCGGGATCGCTCCGTTTTCCATAAAACGAAACCGGAAGCGCGCGCGCAGATGGTGAATTATCCTTGATTCTTTCCACGATGTTCCAGGGCACGATGGGATAGCTAACGTGACCATGACTGGGCATAAACAGAGCCGATTACTGGTCTCGCGGATACCAAAGAAGAGCTCGCAGAAACCTCCGACTTTCTCAGAGAAAGACAACTTGAACGATACCGCGGAAAGTTGCTACAAGCTGGACATCAGGGTGGACATTGTCGACTCGATTCACATTAAGCGCGACAACCTTGAGCCGTTCGAGACCGTTCCGTTGAACGAATCTCCGTTCAATAAAACCGTGTGCCACAGAGGCTTCTGTTGCGAATTCCGAGGCAGCGTAGCTCCCGAATCGAACATAACATCCAGCATCTATCGGGCCGTGGCGTTCAATGGCTGTCGTCATTATGGTCTCACGGCGGAAGCCGATATTCGAACGTGCGCGTTGACGCAATGTTCCAACGATTCCGTCGCTTCCTGCGGTGTTGTTAAAGAGTCGAACGTGACATTCAACGATATTAAGATCAGCTCGACCGTCTACGACCAGTCAAAAATACTGGTGTTGCCCAGCGCGTTGAACTCCACGTTGCTTCCGTTCGAGAGTTGGAGCATGCACAAAGAGGCTGACGGAGACGGAACCCGATTCACGATCGCCCTCAAGGAAGCGACCAGCGACGTGTCCACCTTCGGCCTGTACATGCGACAGTTCAGCAAATCCAGTGGAACCTCTAAATTGTCCGAACCGAGTGCGATCATTGTCCCCAGCCTAGTGTCCTACCTCTACCTGGCCAGGAACCAACTCTAACCGTTCTAGTGTGTTCGTAATCGATTCGTTCCTACGAATTGTGGGGACAGATTGCGTGTATGCGCATAATTGCTATCGTACATCGTATACATTGTGTGTACATGTTGTGTCGTCACAGTACTCGACGACAGAGTAGCGAGCGAGATTTATTTGCGCACGTGTATGAAATTAGATGCAATCGGTGATAGAACAGTTTCCACGACGCGATGCTTTCCATCGACGAAGAAGATCTCTAATCTCTGGGCCAACTTTATCAACGGCATAATAATATTCGGACAGGATTCGAAACTGTTGCGAGACAGCCCTGTATCGAGTTTCGTGTTGCTTCACGGTTACTTTCAACTGTTTCCCAGACTGCCGAATGTTCGCCGCGATAGAAATCACAGATCACACGCGAGAACTGTGGTAAACGGCAAAAATGGCGTGCCTCAGGATACCAGCGACCGATCTCACGGCATCGATTCGAATATTAGGCTCCTGGCTGAGCGGCAGATACGCTCACTCGGATTTGCCGAAAGTTAGCTTCCAAGAGTACCGCAAGAAATCCGTCGCACATCCTAACGTGTCTGCTGCAAGGTCCGCGGACGAACGACGTGTCAGAGCTACCTTGTCGTCTTTCGGTGGGTGAACCCTTCCTGTGCGATCGTTTTCGAACTTTCTCCGGAACGCAGCCTTATTTTTAACACTTAAACCTACTCGGTGAACCCTTCTCAGCGTCAGCTTCCTAGAAGTAAACTATCTCTAACATAAAAGTTTCGAAAATCGCATATTATTGTTGGATCTTGATAAGTTACGTTGAAATTAAAGAAAGCCAAATTTTGGACGAAGAACGATGATCTATTTTACTCACCTTGATAACCTTCCCTAGTTAGCAACGCATCCTTGCCAGCTATAGAACGCATTTCATATTAAATACGTTATAACGATTCTCTTTTTCCTCTGGTCACGTGACGTTAACGGGTGAAAGTATCTCTATTCGACGACAGAGAAAGCAAAGATAATGTGACGGTTAAGTTTATCGTGGACAGTGTTCGGCGTTGCAACCATGTACGCGATGAAGTCCCACATGTTGCATTACGTCTTGTTCATGGCGCCGTCGCGGGATGTTCTAGCAGAGGCGCAGGCCGAAATTAGTTTGGATAACATAACCGTGGGGAAAACGTTGGTCGCCAAGTGGCGAGGAAAACCGGTTTTCATCTATCACCGGTAAGCTTTCCGGGAAGTCCGGGATTTCGCGAAGTTTTTCCTGATTTTCCTGCACCCGCCGCTTCAGTCCGCAGGCCATCATAGACCAAGAACGAAAAGTACCACTCTCGAATCTGAGACATCCGGAGAGCGACGAGGAAAGGACCATAAGACCCGAGTGGTTGGTCATGATTGGAATCTGCACGCACCTCGGCTGCATTCCGATCCCTAATGCTGGCAATATCACCGGAGGGTTCTATTGTCCGTGTCATGGCTCGCATTTCGATGGTTCTGGCCGCATACGTCAGGGACCGGCCCCCACCAACATGGAAATACCCGAATACAAGTTCCTCGACAATAACGCCATCCTTGTTGGTTGAAATCGACGTCATTCCTGTGCCAATTATCAGTTGCTTCTTACCTGTCGTTTTTCCATCGCTCCACCTTTCCTTGTTTTCCGTTTGATTCTCGTTAAACGCAGCCGCGAACAATTTGTCCTCGACGTTCAACGCAACCCGCATCGTGGAAAGAATAGTTTCTCGAATCGCGCCGTGGCGCTCTTAAAACTGCCTCGCGGCGCCATCTATGGTTGGTACGGTACATTTGTTATTAATAAAACTGCATATTAATCATAAATGCCGCAGTTATTACCGCAGTTATTATCGATAATACCGCAGTTATTTGGAAATATTTTTAACTCGATTCGCGTAGCTTTAGTTTTCACAAGTCTGTTTATGTTATTGAATCGTTTCCCGAGTGAGGAGAGGGGGAAACTTGTTGACCATCGCAACAACGAATCGCACCAGTGTGCTCGTGCGACTCTGCCACGTGATCCGCGTCGACGAGACATAAACTCGCCATTTTCTGCTTGGATTTATTAAAGTTAGAAATTATACGATCAAAAAGAATTCAAGAAAGTGCCTTACGTTATGACGCCACCAATGGAAAGAATACAGATCTTGGAAACTATTGAGAAGGATATTATCGTGTGTCTGCAAAGCGCAGGTAAGCAACGCTTTTCTTCGATCTCAAATTTAACGAAGTGAAATTAAAAGTGTGGTTAACTTTTCGTTACACAGGGCAAGCATTTGTGGAGCTTAGCAAAGAAAAATCTAGTTTGAAGCAAGCGGAGGCACAAACGCAACAGTTTTTGAAAACGTTGGGTCACGTCGAGTCGAAGTTGAGCGAGCAAATCAATTATTTAACACAAGTTTCGACAGGTAAGGAGAACTCACTGAATTTCTAATGTAATTTCGACGGACTCTAATTCGTGTTATGTTTCATTAGGACAACCGCACGAAGGTTCTGGATATGCGAGTCAGAAGGTTTTGCAAATGGCGTGGCATAGGTTAGAACACGCGCGAAGCCGCGTGAACGAACTGGAACGTATAAAAAACAAACCGAGATGAAAACTCGGAATGATGTCTCTTGTCGACATAAATCATCTTTTGTTAGTTCTAATTTTATGCTTAATACTTAAGTTTTAATAACTAAAAAAAGATATAAACTTTTTAAAAATGTTTATTTACATATGAATCCATGCCTACTGTAGGAAATTTGCGATCTAAGGAACATTCCGGTTGCAAACGCGTAAATCAAGATGGCAGTAAAGAGCGCAATTCTGAGACCAAGGTTTGCCTGTGGCTACAAAAGATACGAAAGATATTCCATTCGGTTTGGAGAGAGTGTCAGGGCATCGATCCATCCACAACACCCATGCTTCGCTTCACCGTGGCGGCCAAAGAAAGCCGGGACTTCCTTTCTTCGTCCAATTGTTTCGTCAATAGAGACATTTGCGATTGCAAATCGGTCATTTGACTTTTCAGTGTTTTCACTGTTTCCGATAATGTCCTGAAAACGAAGTAAACGTGCACGACTGATAGCTATAGAGCAAGCAGTTACAAGTTCATGATTTGACCGAAGACGTTTTACCTGTTGCTACAAAAATCCCAGTCTCCCTTGTTGTGCGTCAGAGATGTTCTGTCACGTGTCTTCTGCGATCCGTAGTCCAACACCGCTGGAACGCAGACACAATAAGTGATACGTCATTATTGCTCATTCAAGATCAAGTTGTTTTAAAAAACAATCAAAGTGTTCGGTGACTTACAAGTTGATTCCCCAGAGTGCACAGTGAATCTAGCGTTTACAGTAAGGCAATATGCCTCGATAACCTTCAGTATAATCGCGTCCTCTTCAAATTGTCGTTCATCTAAAACCATAAGGCATGTTACTATTTCTGTCAGCGAATAACAGTATTCCCTCCTTACAGCTGATGCCGTTATGAGAAATATTTGAATTTCTTGTGCAGATTTAATTGTTCAAAAAAAGTTCCTATACAAGGAGGGAATACTGTAGGCTGTTTCGGAGATTTGAAATCTTGGATTCGTACTGCACGGTCGTGGTGCACGTGATAAATCCAAACTCGGATCGGTTTTACCAAATGCCCTGAAAGCGTAGAGTGGAGGAGCTGGACGTAACGAAGCGATGCACCAAGCCGTTCTAATCCCTAAAGGTGGACACTGTTCCGCAATCGATCGTTGTTGTTGCGGTTGTGGTTGCGGTTGTTGTTTCCCATTCTGCTGACTCACCTATTGCATCATAGGCAACAAGTGTTACACAAATGAAACATGGTACATGACTAAAATGATATTACAAACTCGTAAGCCTCGTTGCGTCAATATTCTCCACAACTATACACAAAATCGCAAATCGATCGACTGACTCGACTACACAAGATGAGTCGCTGTTTTGGAATGGTACAACGATTATATTAGAAAAGCGAAAGCTTGCTTCACACAACATGGCTGTGGTGAAACAGAAGCATACGCTCATTACATAAGAGTACAGTATCTAGAATTAGTATAAGTCAAAAAACGGGTGAAGATGTTAACTGAACGAATAAAAAAAAAAGAAGAAGAGAAAACAGCCATGCCATGGAAGCTTGCCTTGATCCGTGCATCCAGAAAACGGTATCGACTTCTTCAACCACCAATGAGCGTACAGCCCCGACGTATAGACTTGACCGGGTTCCCCGTAGTCGTGTTTCGCGTTCGGTTGAATCGGCTTTCTTCCGACTTTTTTGACAATGATCTGATGTGCATACGGTATCGGTTGCGTAAACCTTTTTTGCGTTGGATGCTCTAGCTTGTCCAGACGCGTATCGGCCGCGTCCTCCTCTATTTGTATTTCGTTTACGGTGTTCACAGGTTTGGAGACTTTACAGATCGAAGAACTCGAGGCGTGGTCCGCGTTTCTCGACAAGTCGGACAGGTGTGCGCTGTCTCTAGGCGTCGAGTCGAATGGTGACGTGCAAATGCATTGATACTCAAACTTATTCTCATCGTTCTCGCTCTCGTATAAAGACTGTCTTCCGGGTACGCTGACGTGATACTTGTTAACGATACAAGATTTACAAGAATTCACCTCGGATGAGTTCAGACGGTAACATTCGACCATTCCCGAGTCCGAAGAATGAACGCTAGATCTACCGCGAGTTTCGCGTACAGGGTCGCACCGATGCTCGTGGTCCTGGCTATTGGTCTCCTCTTGGACGAGAGCATTGCCCGTTGAAACTGTAGCATCCAACAGGTGTTTCCTTGCAATGCCAGGTCGCTTTCGATGAAGGTCACGAATGCTCAATAAGGACAATTGAGGACGCGGTTCACAGTTGGCAAAGTTGCCTGTACCATCGGCAACCGCGCTAACGGGTAAACTTTTACTGGATTCGCTAGGACTGTGGCGATCCGACGGGAATTCCGTCAAAGTCGAGCTGTTCGTTATGCCTACGGTGCTAAGATCCAAGTCGCCCAACGCATACTTTACCTCGAGGGTCAAGGTAGATTTACGCAACGTCGTCGGTTCACCAATTTCCTTCACTTCTAAAGAAGCCGTGTCCGAATCTCTCGACGGGCATTCGTCGCTGCTTTGGAGCGGATGCAGCGCGTAGGTCGTTATGTTAACTCTTCGCAATTTCACGCTACTTAAATCTGGTTTCAAAACGTACTGCACGTATAACAACTTCTTCAGTAGTTCGGCGCGGATCAATTTTTTCTTTACCAGCTTCGCGAAATACCTCGAGAGGCGCGTGTATGGAGGTAGATTACAACTCACACGTGACGCTGTCGACGGTGATTTTACAAGGTTGCTAGTCGTTTGTTCCTGTACCAAAAATTCGATCCATCGTTGCCGGTCTTCCTTGGTCGTGCAGAGCACGTGGATACTTTCGATCATCGGTCCTATGGGAAAACACAAACGAGACAGATATCGCTTGTTAGAGACTCCTCCTAGAGTTCATCCTACCTGTAATTTCAAAAGCGTTTCTAATTTCTTCACTGTCTTCCGTTGGAATGATATTAATGCCAGTTAGGGGAAGCTTTCCCTAAAAACAAGTATGGTTTATACGTATAATAGTAGATGCAAGGGTAGATTCTCCGAACATACCTCGTAAACGAAAGAACTCATTCTTGGACTTGCGCTAAGCACCAACAAGGTCGTAGGGAAAAGGACAAAGTATCTGTCCCGACGATCCAAGCCGGTCGTTCCGCTTGCTAAAGTTACAGCTCCAACGTAGAGGATTTCCCCTAAAGAGCTTAACTCTTCTCCCTCCCATCCCTTAATACCGCTAGTTAATACTTGAAGAGCTAATTCACGTTGTTTTCGAATGGACGCGCATCGTTCCTGTATAATAATTTGATAAGTAAAGCAATAAGAATCTAGCTCGCCGAATACAATTTAGACAACATACCGCTATTTCCCTATATACAGATATAGCGCGTTGGGTGTCACCTCTATCAGGATGATTTTTCTCCATGTACCTTTCCAGTTCTTGAAGCATGGCAGAATATTTGTCCAATCTCCTGAAAGGTTTACTTAGGCCAGTTGTTAATACTAAAATTCCGGGCGATATCGCTCCGCTGTGTTCCATAAATTCGTTCAATTCATCCCTAAAACAGCGCAAAGTGATTATTTCATTATAAAAGTGAGTATAATGGGAGAATCAGAGTCACGCGTACCTATAGCGATCTAAAATGCAAACAGCTCGTGGATGATTCGCGCAATAAGTAGAGTGAATGGACTTCAGTTTAGGCGCTAGGGTTAAGAAGAGATTGCCGACTCTCGAAGAGCCCTGTGCTATAGCTGTCTCTAGGCTGATGAGTAGTCTTTGATGGGCATCCAAGATTTCATGTACATTGCTCAAAAGTTGCTTGTACTCGTCTTTGGTCAATCTGTGCTTCCGATTGTTAAAAATTTTAGTTGGCACATTTTGATTATTACATTAATTATACTTACATGTTAGCCGATTCTAAAGGAAGTAAAAAATTATTGGTCAGGCCTTGCAGTTCGACCACGTTCACTCTTTCAGAGTCCAATATATCTTTTAATACAATGTCACGGTTGAGCTTTTGATGTACCGGCGACTCCTGCACTGTTTTTTCTGGAGACATTTTTGAGATAGCAGTGGGTCCGCTGTCTTAATATCATAAAATCATGAGAACAAGTTGCAACAAAGAAACATTCTACGCTAATCATTAAAATGATACCTGACGCTCTGCATTCCTTCACATAATTCGATGGGAACCATCCTGTTTTGTCGTTTAACGTACCTTCCCACCAACCTTCATCGTCTGTTTGCGTTATCATTATCGTATCTCCTTTTTTAAAACAAAGCTGCAAATAAGGTGACAAAAAGGATTAATACCGTGAAGTAATCGCCCTTGGAAGATAAACCATTGGAGACTCACCTCGTCATTGTTTTTTCCTTTGAAGGAATAAAGTGCGGTCACGAACTTTGGCGCGTCGAGCTTCGACATGGTTGTCGACTTGTTACGGCCAAAATCGAGAAACGCTTCGAGAGGCTCGTTATTCTTCTCTTTTTCAAATTCAAAAACGTGATGTAAAAGAACGACCTTCGGCGCAGTATTCTGCGCCCGCGCTCGTCACACGCGCAGATTATCGAAAAAATTAATTTCGCTATGTTATGTTCTTCAGCTATCGTGTTATAAGTTCTGCATCCGTTGGTTTCCGTTGCACGTTCGATTTGCTTCGCTGAGCCATACGTTTCTCACTGGTCGTGTAGTTAATTGTACTCGATCGCGTATAACGAAACGTCACTAGATCAAATTGGAAAATCCGAAATTAGCTGAGGATGATGTTAGATACAACAGTCGTACGAGGAATCGTACAGGTTACATACTTTGATGTACAGATGCCTGTGACATCTCAGCGGGCAGAGCTATTTATAAACACTCTATAGGTATAGGTTAGTCACTTGCAAGGATGAATGCAGGCAGCCTGTATTGCAGAATGTTTTCCTCGAATAAACGTGTAGCGCGCGTCATCTGACATTGAATACCAAATACTAAACGGATTAATTCTGACAATATAATACAGATAGCACCGCCTATATATTCCTACAAAAAAAAATCAAAATGATGCCGTTCCTCGTAGCGACAAAACGACCAAGCTTGTCGTCATATAATTTCTCGTTTCGTTCATTAGATGGTATCACTTGTATTTTCCAAGTGAAGAAATCTGTCGATAATCTGGTTAATAGTTTGAGCGTTTTTCCATGGGACTAATTGACGCTGTACAGATCTTGAACGGAGCTTTTTGAATTCGTCACAAGAGGTGTTACTATTCCCACAGAAATTGATCGTGTTAGATTTTACGTTGTTTCTTACTGCGAAAGCGGCCAGAAACACCTGTTATGGATATTTATAATAATAAATACACTACCTTTGCATGATACAGATGCAGGAGATTCTCCTGAATTCTAGGAGAACTCTTAGGGTTTCTGTACCCTAAAAATATTTTTCAATCTTTATCATCTACTATTTTGAGACCTGAATTATTAACGTTCAGATATCGATTGCGGATATATTTACATTTACCTGTTCTCGAATTTTAGTGAGCGGAACATGATTCAGGAGGATTCGATAAAGCTGCGGAGATTCGCGGCGTTTCTCGCGTTATTTTCAAGCTCTTCGAGTAAACAGTAGATGGCAGAACAAGCTCGTTAATTCGGTGCCGATTGTTTTGATCGGAAGAGTTCTCGTGGCCGAGTATCGGTTGCAGCCGAAGAAATCATTGCTCGACGTTCCCGATATCATACGATACTTTATGCGTCGTTTTTGAGATCGCGTCTCAGTGTCGCGAGTTAAATGTAGAATAGAAGATATAACCAGTACAAAATAAAATGAAAGATTTGTTGTTCGGTAGAATCGCGATTTAGTCAAGCGTTTACGGTGGAGGGGGGGGGGGGGGGGGGGT